CCTCCTCCTCCCCCTCCTCCTCCTCCTCCTCCTGAGTTCCATGGAGAGCTGGTGACCCACTCTTGGTGACCCCACTTCCCTGCTCATTGGATGCCAGAACATCCATGCCCGCGACCGACCAAATCGGTCGTTGCCATTTGGATTCAATTTCTGGTATCGGTCGCGACCGGTTTGGAGTGATCTCGGCTTGATTCCCAGACTCCCGACGTCGTGGTTGCTTTTGTTGCGATGTGGACCCCCACAGGTCTCGGGTCTTTCCCCCGGATCGGGAGTCTCTGTTTGACGGCCCCCAAGGCCTGGCGAGGGGCCTCAGAAGTTGAAAACAGCAACAGTCAAATCAACACACTCAAAGCGCGCCCGCCAGTGCGGACGGACCCCCCGTGGGCCCGCACCAAAGGTCACGCCAGCGAGGGGCAACTCTTGCGCGTAGCCGAAACGATTGCGGCTTTCCAGCAGCGCTGATCAACAGAAAAAGGTCGGTATCCGATGGTCTGGGGAAATGAAGGGAACAACGGGGGTGAAGCAGGAGGAGATTTGCTGCTCCCGAGGATGAAGGCATGAAAGACGAATAAGCATACGAATACTATGAAGACGAAGAAGAAGAAAACGAGTAATAATGATGTGAATAATAGCCATAGCAATGACATTGAAAATAGCAATACGAATAATACGGATACCAATACTGGTAATAACACCAAGAACAATAATACTACTACGAATGAAACTCAGACTACGACTTGAAAAAACATGCTATGTATACCAACAAGAATAACACAGCATACTGATAAACATAAGACCAAAGCTACAAATAAGTAAACATATGATAAGAATGATAAGAATGAGAAGCAAACTATTAAGAAAAAGAATGATAATACTACGATTAATAATAATCATAGCCATACTTAAAAATAATACGAATACAACTAATAACACTAACAAACATCATAACCAAAAACATAAACAAATAACCACATAAAGGGAGGAGGAGGAGGAAGATGAGGAAGAGGAGGAGGAGGAGGGGGAGGAGGAGGAAGAGGAAGAAGAGGAGAAGTGGAGAAGGGGAGTGGAGCAACGAGAGCGGCTCCTCTTCGAGCCCTCCGAGGGCCGACAGCGCCCCACCCCCGTCCGGTCCGAAGCGCTCGCTGGCCCGGGCTCGGCACTGCCCGCTTCGAGCCTGTGCTGGGGTGCTCCCTCCGGGCCCGCACCCAGAATCGGGCGTTGGCAGAACTGGATTTAGTGGGACCTGGTTTAGTGATTTGTACCAGGGGGCGCCCCCCCCGTCCCATTCCACTAACCGGAATTGCTGTAACCCGAAAAGCATCAGCTACGGCAAACCTGGTCTAGGGATTCCAATCCATATTTTGGGCTTCGGGGACCCATCACTGACCGGCTCTCCTGAACCGGGGTCCTGGCTATACCCGACAGAAGTCCCTCCGGCGAAGGTTGAGCAGGGACCGACCGTCCCCTCGCATCTCTATTCGGACCTCCGAAACGGGTACGGAAAGATGGCACAATGCCCGACAACACATGTTGTCCAAAGCCGACAGCGGCCGCTGCTGGACAGGCGGCTGCCTGTCTTCGAAGAAGCACGTCCACGGCGGCGCAAACAGCGACTCCTGTTCAAAATGCACAAGAACTGCTGTTGGGCATCGTACTGTACCCATTTCGATCGTCCCGATCCGATCGGGATCCACAAAAGAGGGGTGACCCTGAGGGGGGGCATGAGTTCGATCCGCTTGTGTACCAGACTGCCGCAAACAGATGCCCCCGCATGCGCCAAGGATCGGCAGCTATCGGGAGCTGCCGGAGGCTGGTGGGCATCTGTTTTGGGCGGTGATCGAACTCACACACACACACACACACAGGGGCACACACCCCTTTGCGGGATCCCGATCCTATACAGGCCCACCACAACGTGCTCTCAGAACCACAAGACATGCTCCAAGGACAAGACGGCCCCGGCCAGAAACGCTCTGAGAACACGTCGTGCAGACCACAGAAGGCCCTCAGGGCATTCTCTGGTGGGCCCACGGGCTGGTCAGGACACCTCGCCACCATTGGAGAAGGTTACTACTAGAGGCCTCCCAGATCAGGTCCGAACAGGTGGGGTCGAAAGACCGCGCCGCACAGACGACACGTCGGCGTTACCTCGGCGATGCAGCGGCGATGCCTCGGCGCCGTCGGCGCTGCATCGGCACCCTCGGCGCAGGGGCGCTCGTGGTGACAAAATGCGCGTCGGGCTCTTTGCTGCCCTTGCCTTGGGCGCGCGCTGCTCTCCGTGCCTGCTTGCCTGCCCTGCCTCTCCGTTGGCTCGCGGCTTCTCGTGCCTGCCCTGTGCCCTTGCGCGTTGCGTCCGTCTGCCGGCCTCGCCGTCGTCTTGCGGTCCTGCGTGTCATCCTCTCTCCGCCTCGAGCCCCGTCGAGGCGGAAAGAGGACCCGCATCGAGCCCCGTCGACGGTGCACCGGCGGGGCGCCGCGATCCTCCGACCCACACCCGGGCCCCATCCGGGAGGCCTGCGGCCCCCAAGGGCCGGTCCGAGGACACGCCTCGCCCCTGCCAGGCCGGGCCGCTCCAGTCTGCTCGATGCGCGGGCGTTGGAGGTCTGCACCAGTGGTGCAGACCTCCAAAGCCCGCGCATCGAGCTCGATCAGCACCAGTCTGCACCAGTGGTGCAGGCCTCCAGGCCCAAAGCCTCCTGCCCCGGGGTCAGGTCGGGCTTGTGCCCCTTACAAGCTGATTTCGGACGAAACATGTCAGATATACCCCAAAAAAGATTCAAGCGAAGCAAACATTAGCCTGACGAAGGACCCAACCGTATGCAGGTGTGAGTGCCGCACTTGTGATTCACTTTGTCGGTGATGATCCCTATGAGGCAACGAACCGTGCTAGGGGTGTGCCGACATGAAAGGCGTGGTACACAACGCGAACGAAAACAAACAACACAATGCGGGCTGCGCCACGGGACCTTCGGTGGAGCTCCTATGGGGCCACGAAACGCTGTACTGGGTGAGGGAGACGCATGCGAACTGTGCCACTGGGACCTTCGGCGGAGCTCCTATGGGGCCACGAAACGTGTGAGGGGTGTGCCGACATGAGTGGCGGGGACGCACGCGAACTGTGCCACTGGGACCTTCGGCGGAGCTCCTATGGGGCCACGAAACGTGTGAGGGGTGTGCCGAAATGAGTGGCGGGGACGCACGCGAACTGTGCTACTGGAACCTTCGGCTGAGCTCCTATGGGGCCACGAAACGTGTGAGGGGTGTGCCGAAATGAACGGCGGGGACGCATGCGAACTGTGCCACTGGGACCTCCGGCGGAGCTCCTATGGGGCCACGAAACGTGTGAGGGGTGTGCCGAAATGAGTGGCGGGGACGCATGCGAATTGTGCCACTCAGACCTTCGGCGGGGCTCCTATGGGGCCACGAGGCGTGTGAGGGGTGTGCCGACACGAGTGGGGGGGACGCACGCGAACTGTGCCACTGGGACCTTCGGCGGAGCCCCATATGGCGCCACGAAACGTGTGAGGGGTGTGCCGAAATGAGCGGCGGGGACGCATGCGAACTGTGCCACTGGGACCTTCGGCGGAGCTCCTATGGGGCCACGAAGCGTGTGAGGGGTGCGCCGAAATGAGTGGCGGGGACGCATGCGAACTGTGCCATTGGGACGGAGCTCCTATGGGACAACGAAACGTGTGAGGGGTGTGCCGAAATGAGTGGCGGGGACGCACGCGAACTGTGCCACTGAGACCTTCGGCGGAGCTCCGATGGGGCAACGAAACGTGTGAGGGGTGTGCCGAAATGAGTGGCGGGGACGCACGCGAACTGTGCCACTGGGACTTTCGGCGGAGCCCCATATGGGGCCACGAAGCGTGTGAGAGGTTGCCGAAATGAAAGGCGGGGACGCATGCGAACTGTGCCACTGGGACCTTCGGCGGAGCTCCTATGGGGCCACGAAGGAAATGAATGGCGGGGACGCGTGCGAACTGTGCCACTGGGACCTTCGGCGGAGCCCCATATGGCGCCACGAAACGTGTGAGGGGTGTGCCGAAATGACTGGCGGGGACGCGTGCGAACTGTGCCACTGGGACGGGGCTCCTATGGGGCCACGAAACGTGTGAGGGGTGTGCCGAAATGAGTGGCGGGGACGCATGCGAACTGTGCCACTGGGACCTTCGGCGGAGCCCCATATGGGGCCACGAAACGTGTGAGGGGTGTGCCGAAATGAGTGGCGATGATGCACGCGAACTGTGCCACTGGGACCTTCGGCGGAGCTCCTCTGGGGCCACGAAACGTGCGAGGGGTGTGCCGACATGAGTGGCGGGGACGCATGCGAACTGTGCCACTGGGACCTTCGGCGGAGCTCCTATGGGGCCACGAAGCGTGTGAGGGGTGTGCCGAAATGAGTGACGGGGACGCATGCGAACTGTCCCACTGGGACCTTCGGCGGAGCTCCTATGGGGCCACGAAATGTGTGAGGGGTGTGCCGACATGAGTGGCGGGGACGCACACGAACTGTGTCACTGGGACCTTCGGCGGAGCTCCGATGGGGCAACGAAACGTGTGAGGGGTGTGCCGAAATGAGTGGCGGGGACGCGCGCGAACTGTGCCACTGGGACCTTCGGCGGAGCTCCTATGGGGCCACGAAAAGTGTGAGGGGTGTGCCGAAATGAGTGACGGGGACGCATGCGAACTGTCCCACTGGGACCTTCGGCGGAGCTCCTATGGGGCCACGAAGCGCTGTACTGGGTGGGGATGATGACAACGATGATGACGATGATAATAATGATGATGATGATGATGATGATGATGATGATGATGAGGATGATGATGATGATGCTGCTGCTGATGATGATGATGCTGATGCTGATGATGCTGATAATGCTGATGATGCTGATGTTGATGATGGTGGTAGTGGTGCTGATGATGATGATGAAAATGATGATAATGATGACAATGATGATGATGATGATGATGCTGATGATGATGACGTTGATGATAATGATGATGATGATGATGATGATGATGATGATGATGATGATGATGATGATGTTGCTGATATCGATGATGATGACGGTGTCCCGATGATGATGGAAGAAGGGAGGAGGAGGAGGAGGAGGAGGAGGAGGAGGAGGAGGAGGAGGAAACGCGGGGACCGTCTCTTCACAACGAGGACCCAACAACACAGGTTGGTTTGGAAAAAAACTCTAGAAATCGTCCCCAGACTATGTTTTCCTCCTGTAGAGGGACAGGCCCGACGTAACCCTAGGGCCCGTTCTTCGTCCTAAGTCGTTTTTTGAAGGTCCCGAGGCCCGGCGAAAGCCCCCGGAGGCCGACAAAGAAAAAGCCCCCCCAAAAAACGGCCGCTGCTATTGTTTGGGGGGCGTCGGATCTCTGGGCTGCTTGAGGATGGCACCTCTTACGTGCAGCTGGGAGGATGGAGGAGGAGGAGGAGGAGGAGGAGGAGGAGGAGGAGGAGGAGGAGGAGGAAGGAGGAGGAGGAGGAGGAGGCGAAGGAGAGGACAGGAAAGGAAGGAGGAAGGATGATGAGAACGAGGGAGGAGTGAGTGGAGGCAAGGAGGAAGGAGGGAGGAGAGGAGGAGGAGGAGGACGAGGAGGAGGAGAGCTTGGCACTGCCCGAGCTTCGCCCCCAGGCGCCGAGGGCCTCCGCCGTCGCCGGGGCCGCCAGGGCGAGGAGCCAGGCGAGGGGCGCCGCAGACGCCTCGATGGGCTCGCCGACCTCCCCGGGGCTGTGCCTGGCAGCGCCGGGGGGGGGGGGGGGGACTCGAGGTCAGGAGGCATCAGACCTCGGGGGATTCGGAGGAGAAAAGGGGAGGAGAGGAGGAGGAGGAGAGAGGAGGAGGAGGAGGAGGAGGCAGTAGAGAGGAGGAGCGAGGACGGAGGAGGAAGAGGAGGAGGAGGCGAGGAGTGGAGGAGGGAGGATGAGGGAGAGGACAGGGAGGAGGAGCAGAGAGCAGAGGAGCAGGAGGAGAGGAGGAGGAGTCAGGTGGGAGCGCAGGAGGAGGAGGGAGATGAGGAGAGGAGGAGGACAGGAGGAAGCGAGGATGGGAAGAGGAGCAGACTCTTTCGATCATGCTATGTGTTGGGACCACCTCCTCCTCCTCCTCTTCCTCCTCCTCCTCCTCCTCCTCCTCCGCCTCCCCCTCCTCTTCCTTCTCCGCCTCCTCCTCCTCCTCCTCCTGTTCCTCCTCCCTCCTCGTCCCTTTCCTTCCTGTACTGCTGCCAATTCAGTTACTCAACCCCAGCGGGACCACCTGCGTCATCCACTTATCTGTGCCACTATAGTTCCTTGCATTCGCTGGCAGCTGTACTGAGACCACGTCGCCTCAAGTTGCCTGTTCTCTGCAGGCTACAACAAAGAAGGAGGCAGAGTGACGAGGAGGGAGGAGGAGGAGGAGGAGGAGAAGGAGGAGGAGGAGGCGGACCAATGTTCGCTGGACAAGGTTGGTTCCGCTAGACCTGAAGCCCCCCGAGCCCGACCCGAGGCCCCCCAGTTCGACCTGAGGCGCCCCAGCAGCCGTCGAAACCGTCCATCTTGAACCAGACCTTCTCGCCGTTCCCGAGAAGAGGAGCTACGTGCACAGGAGGAGGCAGAGGAGGAGGAGGAGGAGGAGGAGGAGGACAAGGAAGCGGACCAGTGTTAACCCAAGACTCATCAACGATGTTGGAATACACCCTCCCTCCAAGCGCCCTCTTCACCAATTCGTTTCCATAAATGGAAATGCCCAGTTTGGGGACAACCGTGCAAAAATGCTGAAACGTGCAAAAACACAATTCTCAGGACGTGAACGCCACGAGTCAACCTGATTGTTGCGACTTGACGACCCTAAATCGTGCCAGAATACAATTCCTGGGATCTCAACACCACGGAGAGAGCGTGATCCACCGCCGCTTTACTGTGGAAAATTGCCAACCTTTTCCTCCGGAACCCGGGGGTCGCCCCCCCCCCCCCCCGCCCCCTCTTCCGAAAAATCCCCCCCCCCCTCCCCCCCTGCTGGAACCCCCTCCCCCCCCCCCCCCCCCCCCCCCCTCCCCCCCCCCTCCCTGGAGGCAAAAACAACCCCCCCCTTCCCCTAACCCCCCCCCCCCCCCCCCCCCTCCCGCTCGAAAACCGGGGGGGGTCACTACCGGTTCGGACCCCCCCCCCCCCCCCCCCCCTCCGGATCCCGGAAAACCGGGGGGGGGGTCACTACCGGTTCAACCCCCCCCCCCCCCCCCCCCCCCCTCCCCCCCCCCTCCCCCCCCCCCCCCCCCCCCTACTCACCGCCAGCAAACGACTCCAGGTCCCCACCACCGTCCGCATCAGCATCCACCACTGGTGTTCCCAGCACCACTGTCCTCACCACCGCTGTCCCCACTGGTTCCACCACCGCCCCTACTGTCCCCACCAGTGGCCCCACCACTGTCGCACTGTCCCCGCTGTCCCCAGAACTGTTCCCACCACGGTTCCACTCTCCCCACTGTCTCCACGGCCCCAACCACTGCCCGACTATCCCCACTGTCCCCACTGTCCCACTGACTCCTCCGCTGTCCCACTGAGCTGTCCCACTGTTCCCACCACTGTCCCCACTGTCCCCACCACTGTCCCCACTGTACCTCTGTCCCATTGTCCCACCGCCGTCCTCGCCACCGCCTTCACCACTGTCCCCACCACCATTGTACCCTCCACTGTCCCACTGTTTCCACCTCATTCCCATTGTCCCCACACCACTGTCCCCACCACCACCGTCACCACCACTGTCCACTGTCCCCCCCTGTTCCCACCATTGTCCCCACCACTGTCCCCACCACTACCGTCCCCACCACTGTCCCACTGTCCCACTGTCCCCACCACTGTCCCGCTATCCCCTCACCACTGTCCCCACCAACACCGTCCCCGCCACTGTCCGCACCCCCACTCGGTTTTCGAGGGGGGGCGGGTTTCGAACCGGTAGTGACCCCCCCGGTTTTCCGGATCCGGAGGGGGGGGGGGGGGGAGGGGTTCGAACCGGTAGTGACCCCCCCCCCCCTTTTCATGATGAGCAGGGGGGGTGGGGGGGGGAGGGGTTCGAACCGGTAGTGACCCCCCCCCGGTTTTCGGAGGGGGGGGGGGGGGGAGGGGTTCGAACCGGTAGTGACCCCCACCGGTTTTCCGCCAGCAGCGGTAGGACACGCTCTTTCACACCACGAGTCAGCGTAACGGTAGCGCCCTGACAGTCCTGAATGGTGCAAACCAAGGGAATCTTGCAATTTGTTGCAACGGATGCGTGCGGCGCTCGGGCGAGAGCCAACCTTTGAAAAGGAACCGCCCTCAATCCGTGAAACCCCTCCAATTTTGTAAAACGAATGCGCGTGGCGCTGAGGCGACAACCACATTTCGACAACGAACCGCCCTCAATCCGTGGAGCTCCATGTGCGCGGCGCTGAGGCGAAAACCATATGTTGAGAACGACCTGTCCCCAATCCATGAAACTCTTGCCAATGTTTGAAACGAATGTGCGTGGCGCCACAGCGAGAGCCATATTTTGGCAGCGACCCGCTCGCCCTCCATCTGTGAAACACTTGTCAGCTGTTAGGCTTGAAGCTCACACATGGCAAGAAAGTCTCAGGCGAAACGCCCGGCCCGCCCTGCCGACTGACCTCGGGGCGCGACAGGGAGGAGATGCTCATAAGGAAAAAGGAGGAAGGAGGAGGAAGATAAGGAGGAAGAGGAGGAGAAGGAGGAGGAGGAGGGGGAAGGGGAGGAGGAGGAAGAGGAGGAGGAGAAGGAGGGGGAGAAGGGGAGAAGGAGGAGGGAGGAGGAGGGGGAGCATGAGGAGGAGGAGGAGGAGGAGGAGGAGGAGGAGGGGGAGGAGGAGGAGGAGGAGGAGTTATTCGTCAAGAAAAGGCATGGAGGAGGCAGAGGCACGCAACCCGTGGGAGCGCAAGCTGTGGCCACCGCCGCAGGAGGGCGCAGACCTCCCCGCGCCTGGGGAGACCCCACCTAGCCGACCACTTCGGCACGTGGATAAGATATTCGAAACCCCGCACACTCGAGGCGAATGTTCATCGCCCCCCCGCCCCCGAAATCGATGTTGATTCCAGCATGGGTGGTGGTCTGGGGGCTCGAATATGTCTGCCCCCCCGTGCCCTCTCCCTGACCGCACCCTCAATATCATTGTTGGTGTGTGGGTCCGGGGAGGTTTCTGGCGCCGCAGGGTTCGAACTTCTTGTCCAAGCACGGTCCCTCCCTGGGAGCCCTGTGCCTGCTTCGGCGGGTGAGGGTCCCCTTGGTTGGTCTGGCGGCCGCGGCTTGGGTGCCTCCTGACGGCAGGAGCGAGGCCACTGCGCCATCAGACTTGGCCAGTATGGCCACTGCCCACACTTAGGCATTCAGCATGATCATCATCAGCATCATCATCATCATCAGCATCATCAGCATCATCAGCATCATCAGCATCATCAGCAGCAGCATCATCATCCTCCTCCTCATCATCATCATCCTCCTCATTAGTATTATCATTAGTATTATTATGCATATTATTATTATTAGTATTATCATCGTCGTCACCCGCATCAACGACATCATCATCGGCATCATCCTGCTCCTCCTCCTCCTCCTCCTCCTCCTCCTCCTCCTCCTCCTCCTCCTCCTCCTCATCATCATCATCATCATCATCATCATCATCATCATCATCATCATCATCATCATCATTATCATCATCATCATCATCATCATCATCATCATCATCATCATCATCATCATCATCATCATCATCATCATCATCCTCGTCGTCGACATCACGGAGGACAACACAGTCCACCCCTACCCCTGCCAGGACCCCCACTCCAGACCTTGTGATCCAGCGGGTCCGGTCTGGGGGAGGCAGTTTTTATGAGCCCACAGACTGGAAAACACACACCCCTTCCCCCAGGCAGGACCCCCTCGATCACCAGGTCGGGAGTGCGTATCCTGGAGGGGGTGGGGGTGGGCTGTGCTGTCTTCAATCGTCATCGTCATCGTCATCATCAGCATTATCATCACCACCACCATCAGAAATATCTAACTCATCCTCATCACCACCACCATCATAATCATCAGCAGCAGCATCATCACCATCATCATCATCATCATCATCATCATCAGCATCATCATCAGCATCATCGTCATCATCGTCGTCTCCATCAGCAGCAGCATCATCAACATCATCATCAACATCATTATCATCATCCTCATCATCATCATCATCATCATCATCATCATCATCATTATCATCATCAACATCATCAGCATCATCCTTATCATCATAATCATCAGCATCGCCTGCATCATCCTCCTCATCATCATCATCATCATCATCATCCTAATCAGCATGATAATCATTGACATTACCCCCTCAACAATGTCATCGTCATCATCATCAGCATCATCGTCATCATCATCGTCGTCATCATCATCACTACCATCGCCGTCATGAGCATCAGCAGCAGCATCGTACTCATGATCATTCAGATCATCATCATCATCATCATCATCATAATCATCATCATCATCCTCATCACCGCCATCATATTCAGCATCCCCATCCTGACCATCACCACCAGCATCATCACCACTACCATCATCATCATCATCATCATCATCATCATCATCATCACCAGCAGCAGCATCATCGTCATCAGCATCAACACCACTACCACCATCATCATCATCATCATCATAATCATCATCATCAGCAGCAACATCCTCATCATCATCATCATCACCATCATCATCATCATCATCATCATCATCATCATCATCATGTTCCTCATCATCATCAGCACCAGCATCATCACGGCCCCCCCAACCCTGGAGACACTAGGTGTCACGCGTGACAGCCTCCCGTAATTAGCCCCTCGAACAGTGGCCGCCCAGAATGTTTGGCTGGCACGGTGGCGGGACCTGCCGCAGGCAGCTGGACAGTACGAGCATGCCTGCGTGACACCTCCAGCAGGCCCACATGGTGGCCCAGGACGGTCTCAATCCCGCAGGAGGGGGAGGAGGAGGAGGAGACCCCGAGACCAGAGTGACCTTTGGTGCGCCACTTTTGGGGGCCGCGGGGAGGCCCAACCCGAGCGCGCAGAGCACTGCCATCGCATTGCATTCAAAGAGGAAAAAGATCTATGCACATACACCCATTCTGGCCAGGCCCATCCTGAGCCCAGGATCGGTGCATACGCCCTCCTACCTTGGCCAGGAAGGCACATGCACCGATCCTGGGTCAAGGATGGGCCTTGGCAGGATCGGTGCATGTGCATAGTTCCCTTCGCCCGAATATTCAGCCATCTCGGGCTCGGGATCCCAGTGCGCCCGCACCAAAAAAGTCGCTCCGGCGAAAGGTCGCTCTCGCGCGCAGCCGAAGACTTCGAGGGTCGGAGGCCTGGTCATCCGGCGCGGCATGGCCGAGAAGGAGTCCATGTCGACCTTCCCGTCGTACGCGAGGGGGATCCGCCACTCCTCCACGCTCACGTACGGGGCCTGGGCAGGCGCCCCCGGAACCGAAGCGGGAAGTCGGATCGGCGATCGAAGGGACTCGGATGGGCGGAGATCGGCAGCCGAGCGGGGAAGAGTCGAATCGGCAGAAATCGGCAGGCCAGCATGCCTCCGATAAGAAGTCGGAGCCCGAATCGGAAGCCGAAGTCGAATCGCATCGGAATCGGAAGCCGTCGAGATCGAATCGAATCGAATCGAAGGAATCGAAACGAGCCCTGCCTGGGGCACCCAAGAGGGAGGAGGGAAGGCCGGGCGCTCGTTTTACCGCGGGGGCGATACACGTGTGGGGAACAGACGTCCACCTGTTTAGAAGGCAGAAAATCCACCCCGATAATAACCACCCCCACACGCGATGCCTTCAGTAAACGCGCCCAATGAAGGAATCGAGCAGGGCAGGGCTGTTTAGTGAACGCCCAGGGCCGTTTAGTAAACACCCATTGTCCGGTCATGTGGTTTTTCCTCCTTTGACTGTTGTGCAACTTCTGGGCTGAGGTCGGGCGTGACCCCATACAAGCGGATTTTGGTGGAAAAATGAAAATAGTCAAAACATGCACAACAATGCTCAGCAATGGTCAAGAGATCGCCCCGAGACTATGTTCTACTACCTCTGGATACTCCTCCTGTAGAGGGACACGCCCGACTTACACGTCCACCTGCTGTGCAGCTTCTGGGCCCGCGGCGGCAAGGCTCGGGGGCCATTCGAAGGGCCCCTCTTGGAGCCAGGCTGCTGCAATCCTCCGGCCCCCCCACGCTGACTGCCCCGCCGTTACCGCCCGCCCGGGAAGGAGAGCGGAGGAGGGAGGAGTCCGGCAAGAGAGGGGAGGAGGAGGAGGAGGAGGAGGAGGAGGAGGAGGAGGAGGAGGAGGAGGAGGAGGAGGTGGTGGAGGAAGAAGAGGAGGAAAAGGAGGAAAGAGGAGGAGGAGGAGGAGGAGGAGAAGGACAAGGAGGAAAAGGAGGAGGAGAAAAACAAAAAAAGGCGTCAAGGGGGGAAAAACGAGGCGACGCGGACTCAGTGGCGTCAGATCCACGGCGCCGCGCGCGAAGCACACTGTGAGAAGCCCCAGCGGCTGTTGCCTCGTGGCTCCAGCAGCGATCGAGTCAAGGCCCTGCTCGAGAGAGAGGGAGGGAGAGAACGAAGGTCGGGAGGAGTCTCAGAAGTTCTGGGGGGATCTGCTCGGATGGGGGAGCGGGAGAAGCAGGGAAAGAAGGAGGAGTGGGAGGCTTAAGCTCCGCGCTCATTGCTCCTCCTCATCATCAACAACATCGTCATCAATCAACATCATCATCAACATCACCATCGTCATCATAATCGCCATCATCATCATCAGCATCATCATCATCATCATCATCAGCATCAGCATCATCATCATGTTCATCACCATCATCATCAACATCATCATCATCGCCATCATCATCAGCATCACCATCATCACCACCAACACCATCATCATCATCAGCAGCAGCATCATCAGCATCATCATCATCACCACCAACATCATCATCATTCGTAGCATCATTATCATCAGCAGCAGCATCAACATCATCATCATCATCATCATCATCATCATCATCAGCATCATCATCATCATCATCATCATCATCATCCGTCCGTCGTCCTAGAAAATCCACCGACCCTGTCAGCATGTGTGCGAGGCTCTTCTGTGTGAGTCGTCGTCGTCGTCGCCGCCGCCGCCGCCGCCGTCGTCGTCGTCGCCGTTGCCGTCGCAGCTGCCGTCGCCGTCGCCGTCGCCGTGGACGTGGCCGTCGCCATCGCCGTCGCCGTCGCCGTCGGCGCTCCCTCCCTTTCGCTGAGCCGAGCCCTCCTCCGCAAGCGTTCCAGAAGGACGGCAGAAAGCAAGCAGCGGCGCAATCGAGACGAGAGGAAACCCCTTCCCTTTGAGCCCTCCCCCGCCAGGGGGGGAGGCCAGGAGGGGATGTGGGAGCGGTTTCCGAAGGGGGGGGGAGGGGGGGGGGCTGGGGGTTGCGACCCCCCACCTCCCCACGTTGGGAGAAGCCTTCCCAGGGAGGAGCTTTCGTCGACTCCAGAGCGTCGGCGTCGTCGTCACTCTTCCTGGTCGGCGGCACTGGCCGTAGGACCTTCCGAATGAGTCCTCGTCGCAACCGGGCGTGTTGGTATGGCGGGAAAGGCGTCTAGTCCCGATTCGCATCAAGCTTGGTGCTTCCAACGGTTACATGCATAAAGGGCGGATGGTTAAAACGTGTGGTTCTCGCCTGAGCGCCAGCAACCCTTCTGGAAAGCGTCACCGGAGTCAAAAGGGTGGAGGATGGTTTCTTTTCGAAACAGTGTTCTCGCTTGACACGCTCTGTGAGTTCATGGTCCGAAGACTAAGCATGCGCACCAGCTACATGGATGCAGGGTGGGCGTTTTCGAATATTGGGATGCGAGCCTACATACAGCATATCGGCATTTCGAATATTTACCAGGACGAAGGGCAATTCCTTTTCAAAACGGTATTGTCGACGAAGTGTGAGGCCCATGGAGCGTGCGTCTTCGGGGGAGCGACCACCGTGGAGAAACATCAGATCTGCGCAAACTTCTGAGACGACTTGGGAACAGAGGACCAGAGGGTATATTGCAGCATCGTGGATGCATCCTGGAACCCCTCTGGTTCTACCTCCTCCTCCTCCAACTGTTCCTCATCCCCCTTTTCCTCTCTTCATCCCTCTCCTCATCACTCTCCTCGTATGAGCTGTTGTTTCTTTTCCTCCTCCTCCCCCTCCTCCTCCTCCTCCTCTTCTTCTGTGTCTTCAAATTCTTCTTGGTATTAGTATTAGTATTATGATTATTAGTCGTATGTTTACTCTTTTTCTTACTAGTACCATTACTACTATTAGTAGTACACTTATTAGTTGTCCTCTTCATCCTCCTCTTCCTCCTCCTTCTCCTCCGCCACCTCCTCCTCCACATCCTCCTTCTCACTTATTATTATGTTGTTTCTTCTTATGCTTATTAGTATTCGTCTTATTCGTATTATTAGTATGATTCTTCTTCTTCGTATTAGTATTATTCTTCTTCTTATTCTAATTATTATTATTACTATTCTTAGTATTATTATTCTTCGTCTTCTTATTATTATTCTTATTAATATTACTACTATTATTATTATCATTATTATTATTCGTCTTCGTCTTCGTCTTATTATTATTATTATTATTATTCCTCCTCCTCCTCATCCACCTGTTGGCTCCTGTTGGCTCCAATGACGTCTGTTCCCGCTGGCAGAGCCTGCAGCAAAGCGGCGAAAACGCAAGGCTGGCAGTTCAGTACTCGTCGATCCCGAGGAAGGCCTCGAACTGCACGAGGCGGGGGCGGAGGTGGCACGGGAGCCGCGAGCCCCTGGCCTCCATCACCAGGTACTCCTCCCACGCCGCCTCCTGCGTCAGCACGCGGCCCTTCACGTCGAGAGTCGCCGAGTTGGCCACATCGTCATCTGAGTCCGACTCTGGTGCCAGAACCAGCGCAAGATCGGCCGCAGAGATGTGACCAAACACTGTGTCCATCCCACCGTCGGTGCCACCTACCATGGAGGAGTGGGGTTCCATGGCAGGCTGCTGCTGCACAGGGGCGCCATGAGCAGCGCCCGTCGCCGAGTCGATCTTGATGGCCTTGTCGACCTCGGCCAGCACCTTGTCCTCCCCCGCGGAGTCCACGGAGACCTTCTCCGAGTCCGCCTCCTCAGACGGGTCGGCTGTTTCCGATGTGTCATCCGCCTTGTCGTCCCGCTCGGCCTGCTTGCGCCCGCGCCTGCGGCCACGCTGCCGGCCCCGCTTCTCCTTGACCGGAAGGCCCAAGACACCGGCGCCCTCGCCGAGCTCGGCGTGGGCCGCAAGGTTGCGGTCCAGGCGGACCGCGCCTGGGACGGGCAGTCCCGCGACCTGCAACTTGAGCGCCCGCTCGATCGCAAGGAGGCGCGTCGCAACCTCCTGCCTTCCCGCCTCGCCGAGCGGCACCTGCTGCACTTCCTGCTGCAAGCCCAGCAGCGAGGCGCCCGTGCGGAGGGCAGCAGCGACAGCCGCCGCCACGCTCTGCCGCCCGCCTCCGCCCTCCACCGCCCCCGCCGCCGCCGCCCGAGCCAGTGGGGCGAGAGCCGCCACCAGAACCCCGCTCGGGAGCGAGACCGTAGCCACCGCCTTGTCCAGGCCATCCTTCGCCGCCATCGCGGGGGGCCGCGGAAGGGGAAGGAGACTGAGCCGCTCTCGAGCGCAGCAGCAGACGAGAGAGGCAAAGCGAGCACCTGCCCACCTGGCGCCCAAGGCAGGCTTGAGCCAAAATGGCTACGGATCCTCCTCCTCCTCCTCCTCCTCCTGCTCCTCCTGCTCCTCCTGATGCTGCTCCTCCTCCTCCTCCTCCTCCTCCTCCTCCTCCTCCTCCTCCTCCCCTCCTCCTCCTCCTCCTCCTCCTCTCCTCTCCTCCTCCTCCTCCTCCTCCTCCTCCTCCTCCTCCTCTCCCCCCCCCCGCCTCCTCACTCCTCATCCGCGTCATACTACCTCCATCACCATCATATTCATTCGATATCATCATCATCATCTCATCATCATCAATCATCTCAATCATCATCACATCATCATCTCATCATCATCATATCATCATCATCCATCTTCTCATCATCATTCACATCATCATCATCATCACATATCAGCATCCATCATCATCATCACACCACCAACCTACCACCCATCTTCATCAAATCATATCCTCATCATCTCAACCTCCTCATCATCATCATCATCAACATCATCCTCATCATCCTCATCATCCTCCATCGCCTCCGCCTCCGCCTCCGCCTCGCTCCGGCCTCCTCCTCCTGCTCCTGCTCTGCTCCTCCTCCTCCTCCCCCTCCTCCCTCCTCCCTCCTCTCCCTCCTCCGCCTCCGCCTCCTCCTCCGCCTCCGCCTGCGCCTCCGCCTCCGCTCCGCCTCCGCCTCCGCCTCCGTCCTCCTCCTCCTCCTCCCCTCCTCCCGCCTCCTCCTCCTCATCCTCCCCCCTCCTCCTCTTCCTCCTCCTCCTCTCCTTTCTCTCCTCTTCCGCTCCTCCTCCTCTCCTCCTCCTCCTTACTCCATTCCCCTCCCCTCCCCTCCCCTCCCCTCCCCTCTCCTCCCCTCCCTTCTCCTCTTCTCTCCTCTCCTCCCCTCCCCTCTCCTCTCCCCATCTCCTCCCTCCACTGCCCTCCCCTCCCCTCACCTCCCCTCCTCCCGCCCCCTTCCGAAAGGGATCCGATCTTCCCCTCGCATCTGGGCAGGCGCCCAACGCCGCAGCTCTCACCTGTTCTCAGGGCTTCCCCAGCTCAGGTACCCAGCCCCGACGGCGTGCTCTTTCGCCACGTGGACCCGCGAGGGTCCCGACCCGCTCCCCGGGACCGGCTCTTCATCCCGAGTCGCTGTTCGACAGGCCCGGGGCCTGGTGAGGGCCCCCAGCGGCTGAAGAGAGCCAGACTCCTCCCGTCGTGATGCCGCTCGCGGCGCGAAAAAAAAAGCCTGCGCATGCCGGGGCAGAGGGGCACCTCGGACCCCCAGCCGGCTCCGACCCAGCGCTGCCCCCGACGGCCCTATGCCCCCGTCCTGCTGCGCGCCGCCGGCGGTGCCGCGGCGGACACGGGAGGGGTGCGGGCCTCCTCGGCGGTCCACGTCTGCCTCTGCGGGTCCCATCGTCGGACCGGCAGGGTCCAGAGCCCGTCCTCTGGGCAGCCAGCGGAGCCACGTCTGACCGATCCCTTAGGCCCCACTGGCGAGGCCCGGGCCCCGCTGGCCGATGGCCCCCCCCGTCTGAGAGGTCGGGATCTGGGCTGTGTTCCCTGCGGGCCTCTCGAGGGGCCTGCCCCCCCCCGACCCGGGCGGTGAGATGGTGGGGATCGGCTGCCGTGGCTCGGTGGGGCTGGGGGTAGGCGCAGCGAGACTGAGGAAACGCAGATTGGGAAGCACAAAGACATACTAGTGCTATGTGTCCTCCTTGGAGGCGCGCGTCCGACCAGAACATATAGTATACCCATCTTGTAGTATATCGTTTCCCGAGCGGTGTGGCCAGAAAGCGCCCCCCACGACGCATATACTATAAGATTTCTCGGTGCGCGCGTCGCCTCCGGGGGGGCGAAGCACATATAGTATAAGTATGTTAGGGTGATGCCGATAGATTCCTGAGGGGAAGCCTGCAATCCGCCCCTGGCTTCTGAAGGCTCACGATCCCGCCTCCATCCAGCTGCAGCCTACCCAGCCAACAACTCGGCATGAGATGCCTCGACTCTTCATGTGTCGCCGCGGCGTCTGCTCGGAACGCGTCCAGGCAGAGACGAATCCGCCACCGCGGCAAACCACACTCCAGACCTTGCGTCTGAGGCGGGGTTTGCCCTGGTGGCCGCGGAGCCCTCTCAAAGACGGAAGACCGCGCGTCGGAATAAACGGCGCGCCGACATATCTGAAAGTGAGCGATTTTTTATTCGGTGTTTCGACATTGGGCGGAAAGGGGGGGGGAGAGGGGGGTAATCTGGCTCCGAACCGCTGCTCAGTGCGACTGCTTGCAGCAGTGCGTCCTGAGGGGGAGGGACTCCACCTGCTGGAAACAGGCGCCCACAACAGCCAAGATCTACTCCAGGGGGGATGGAGGGGCGGGGGGGCGGTGCGAGGGCCCGCGCCGATCGGCAAAACAGTATAAGTAAAAGAACGGTCACCTGGTGGCCGCGGAGTCCTCTCAGAGACGGGAGGCCGCGCGTCGGAATAAACGGCGCGCCGGCATGTCTGAAACTCGAGGACGGGCGGGCACCCGTCCTCGGGCCAGGCGCAGCCGTTTCGGCGGGGCCCTCCCCCCTTCCAGGTGTTCGCTCCGCGCGCGCTTCCAGAGACACCCCTCATTATCATTATTACAATCAGTACGTTTAATATCAGTGTGAGTAATATTATTATGGCCAATGATGTTAGCACGACTACTACTATTCGTTAACAACAAGTTTTAGTATTGTTGCCAGTGGTATTACTATAAGTTTGATGGTAGTAGTACTTGAACCATCATTATAAGTATGAATAGTACTATTAGTAATAAGAACAATGATACTAATATTAATGATCATAATACTACTAACACTCATACTAATGATACTAATACGAATATTAAGGAAAATACGAATACTAATACGAATACCAATACTCATACGAGTACTAATACTAATACGAGTACTAATACTAATACTAATACTAATACTAATACTAATACGAATACGAATGCGAATACGAAAACGAAAACGAAAACGAAAACGAATACGAATGCGAATGCGAATGCGAATGCGAATACGAATACGAATACGAATACGAATACGAATACGAATACGAATACGAATGCGAATACGAATACGAATACGAATACGAATACGAATACGAATACGAATACGAATACGAATACGAATACGAATACGAATACTAATATTAATACTAATACTAATACTAATATTAATACCCATACTATTGACTATGGTAAACGAATTAGAAAAATAATATTAACAATACTACGAATAGAAATTATAGTAATGGTTGTACCAGCAGTACATTTATTAATCGTCTTCCTCTAGGGACGTCGGACGGGCCAAAAGATGCGTCCATCGGGCGGAAGCTACCATGGATTGTGGATTACGGCCGGGAACTTCTGCGTAGCGTGCCGTGGCGGCGGCCCCACCGACACGCTGTCTCCTGCAGGCGGGGCGGTATGCAGCCTGGGGATTGGGAACTGGGTAGCGCGTCGCACCGCGGCGTGGTGGGCCAGAGGCCGGCGGGGAGCGACACGCTATCCAAAAACTTCTGACCATCTCCATCGGGCGGACGCTGGCATGGATGCTGGAACTGCGGATCTGGCGCGCGGGCGCCAGATCCGTGGCACGGGGAGCATACGTCCCGAGACAGGAGGCCACTGCCCGGCGCTCTGGCGACAGGGCGCGCCGATCCTGCACTGAAGATGGGCCCGTGGCTACGGCTGGGAACTTTAGACTGGCGTGTTGCCACGGGGGCCCCAGGGACACGCTATGCCTCGCGAGCGGATTGCGTGTCGTTCCGCTCCTCGGGGCGGGAGCTAAGCCGTAAGCTCGGGACGTTAACGCCCGGGGACCGTGAACTGGATAGCGCGTCGCACGGAGGCACGGTGGGCCAGAACCGGCAGAGCGACACGCTATCCAACAAATCCTGACCGTACTCCGCACGCCTCAATCCGTGCTTGCGCCTCTTTGAGTCCCGCCGCCCCGTCCTTCTTGTTCTGCAGGGCGGTGCCTGCAAGCTGCCACCTTGCTCCGACCAGGCCACACTTGCCCCTCTCCTGCGGGAACAAGCAAAACGTCGGGTCCCCCAAGCCGTGTGGTCGTCGGAATCCGACCTCACCAAGCGGTCCGCCACCGCACGGTCTTGGGACCCCAGAGGCCCTGGCCGCCCGAGAACGCCCTCGGCGAGGCGCAGCTGCTGAACTACAAGCCTCGTCAAAAATAAACAGAAACAAAGTTGGAAATCACGACGATCGATCTTCTCGGGCACTTGTTAGAAACTGCGTTCTTCAATGCTGCGGAGGGGTCGTCGGATTCTTGAAGCCCTTGCGTCCACGTCAGATATCTAGCGTCAGCATTGGAGTAGCGCTGACCATACAATCACCGAAAACATAATCCCTCAGTTTATGTTTGACGAGGGTTGTAGAAAAAGAAGAAACGCCATAATGCATAAGCTTTTGGCGCTCCGCGCGGATTTCTCGGATCTGCGCACGACCCCCGGGACCCCCCCCCCTGGCGCGCGGAGCGCGCCAGGGGCGCCGCCAGAGGCGCCGCCCCGGAGGGGGCCCAGCGCGGATCCAAGAAATCCGCGCGGAGCGCCAACGGTTTCTGTATGACGTTTATTCTTCTCCGAGGATCGCATCCCGAGAGAAACAACAAAAAAGAGAAAAACAAAAAACAAAAAAACGGGAACCGCCGGAAAGATCCCAAAGACCCGGAAACGCATGAAAACCCTACTGACCCCGCGCGGTGCGGTCACCGCCCCACTTCGGGGGGCCCGAGCCACCACGACAGCCGAAAATCCGCGGAAGGCCCACCCTGACGGAGTGACCCCCGTGCTCTGCGGCACCCCGCTCGAGACAACACCTCTGCTCTCCAGCTCAGGGGGGTCCTCCTCCTCCTCCTCCTCATCCTCCTCCTCCTCCTCCTCCTTCTCCTCCTCCTCCTCCTCCTCCTCCTCGTCCTCCTCCTCCTCGTCCTCGTCCTCGTCCTCCTCCTCTTCCTCCTCCTCGTCCTCCTCCTCCTCCTCCTCCTCCTCCTCCTCCTCCTTCTCCTCCTTCTCCTCCTCCTCCTCCTCCCACATTCGGGAGCATTTCCCCAGACAGCCGACGCCCTGACTTCAGCCACGGCGTGGCCCTCCAGAGATCTGGACCCCTCCCCCGGGACCGGCTCCTCATCCCCAGTCGATTTGTTCCTCGCACGACACACTGCAGGTGGCACAACCACATCGCAAAGCAATAAGGGTCGCTGGGCAAACCGGGAACCTCGCACAAGTCGGCCTGCACAAGGCAAACTCATGCTGTGAACCGTGGCCTGAGCAACAAATCGGCACTGCACTTGCGACAGGAGGGAGGAGGACGAAGGAGGAAGAGGGGGACGAGGGAGGAGGCGGGAAGAGAAGGAAGAAACATCCCGCCCTCGACATGTGACATCCAGCCGGGGGTTATCGACATAATGCGTCTAGAACTGGTGCCAGCAATGGTACGCCAAGGCAGTTCCCGTGCAACGCAAGGCAACATCAGCAGGGAGGAGGTGAGGAGGAGGAGGAGGAGGAGGAGGAGGAGGAAGGAGGGCAAAGGACCTGCGCGAGAATCAACAACTAAACTCTGCCACCCAACCCGGTGGGAGCATCCCCGACCCAGGAGCGACAGGGGCATCCCGAGCAGATTTTAAGTTCGTGGACGGCCCGCGGGGCCCCCCGAGGGCCTCCGGAGGCCGAAAACGATCCCAAAGCCACCCGTCGCGCTCCTCCTCCTCCTCCGCGGCGAGGGGGGGGGGGGCACCCGGGCTGGCCCTTCGGCCCGTGCCGCCTGCCCCCGAGTCCTGGAGGGCGACGTCGTCGTCCGAGTCGCAGACGTACAGGCGGTCCGTGAGGGTGCGCAGCCCGTAGGGCCTGGGGAGCCCACAGATAGAGGAAGGAGAACTGTGCACATACACCGATTCTGGCCAGGCCCATCCCGAGCCCATGATCGGTGCACACGCCCTCCCACCTTGGCCAGGAAGGCATGTGCACCGAGCCTGGGTCAAGCATTGGCCTTGCCAGGATCGGTGCATGTGCATAGTTCTCTCCGCCCGAACAAGAGGGCGTGCCAGCGCACCACCACGTAGAAGGACCTCGGGCCCCCCCAAAGTCCGCGAGACCAGCGGCGTGATACGAAAGCAAGTTCGCGCCACGCGTCCTCCCGAAAATCAACGCGGCGTCGTGCACGCGCACGCCCTCCCTTCGCCCCCGAGGGCCGGAAGTCGTGGGCGCCGCCCGCCGTCAGGCGGTGCTTGTCCAGCAGCTTGCGCGGGACGTGGGGGTCGGCGGGCACCTCCTCCGCCGCGCCCTCGCCCTGCGCCTCCGCGCCCCCGTGGGCCTGGCAGCGGAGCAGGGGGGCACGGCCACCGGCGAGCCTCGGCCACGAGTGGGCTCTCTCCACCACCCACGGCAGGGGAGGTGTCGACCCCCATCCTGAGCTTTGGGAGGCTTTTTTCCCACTGGACCGGCGATTCGGGGCCCGAGCCTGGGCTATACTTAAGTCGGGCATGTCCCCCTACAGGGGGATTTTCGACGAAAAATAATAATAATTATAAAAAAACTACAAATAATCAAAAAATAGTCCAACCATAGTCTGGGGATTATTCTTCGAGTGTTGTTTGACCTTTTCGGGGCATTTTTGGGGTATCTTTTAGTTTTCGTCAAAAATCCCCCTGTAAGGGGACACGCCCGACATAAGACTATACGATGAGTGGTGTCCATCCCGGACAGGGGCGCCGTGCCCGAACAGACCCCTGGGGGCACACTTCCCCCCTCGTCTGAGCGGCCAGACTTTTCGGGCGGAGCTCGGGGTTGGGGGAGAAGCATCGCCCGCGAACCTAGGCTTAGGTCGGGCATGTCCCCCTACAGGCGGATGTTTGAAGAAGCATCAGAAATCCTCAAACATATCTATCCAACAAATCGTCCCCAGGCTATTTTCTTACTACTCTTGAATACTCCTCCTGTAGAGGGACGTGCCCGGCTTAGACCCAGGCCCACGGACCAGATCGAAAACCACAGGCCCCGTCTGAGCCCAGCGGTGGTCCTCGCAGCAGTGGCCTGGCGGTGTGCGGGAGCGCGCCTACGGGGTCCCGTCGACAAGGCTGCCCGCGGGCCGGACGCCGGCCTTGGCTTCGTCTCACAGAGACCTCGCAGTGAATGCTCCAGATGCCCGCATCTATCGAGAGGAAAGATGAACGCATGAACGGTCCGCTGGCCACAAAGGCCGCGCCCTTGATCGCGCGTGGACGCCTTGGCAGACTGGGCAAGCACTTGGGAACTGCATTTGGCACACATGCTGAACTGACGTGGTCGGCAACACCAACACAGGAAGGAAGGCAGCGAGAAGCAGGGCGGATGGAGGGGCCAAAGACACGAGGGAGGGCAAAGAATAAGCTCGCTATCAAGCTGAACCGGATCGTGAGCTAGGGTGCAACTGTCCACGAGTATGGACAGGCAGTCAGACAGACAGCAGCATCCAAGAGGCTTCCCACCCTATGGTAGGCCCTGACACCGCATGGATCATTCAACCTTGAACGATGTCGGCTTTCCCATCGGGAAAATCTCTGGTTGCGGGCCGATCGATCCCGGGGAAACCAAAAAAAGGTACCGATACCGCCAGTCCCCGGACCTCTCCTGGGGTGTGTTCTGACCAGAACTTCGAGTCGGATCCAGCGGCGGCGGCGAGCGCCTCCCAGGAGGCCCTACAAAGGGAAAACGCGGAAAGGGTAGCAGCATCGGGATACCCGTTCCTCCTCCGCGAGTCTGGGCCACCAGGAGCGCTCAGTCTTGAACTCCCGCGCCGGGATCGCCCCCGCGTGCACTGCCCACGCGGCGCGAAGCTGCCATCCAGTCTCAGGTCGGGCCTGTCCCCCTGCAGGCGGATGTTGGGAGAAAAATTCAGAACACTAAAAAAAAAAAAAAATACTCCCCGAATGCCTACAAATAACCAAAAGGTAGTCCCCAGGCGATGTTTTGACTACTTCTGGATATCCCTCCTGGAGAGGGACAGGCCCGACCTAAGTCTAGTCAGGGCGGCCGCACGCGGAGCACACGCACTGGACACGACCGCCACCAGGCCAGGCCCTGGCCAGGCGCGGTGGTGTGTCGCTCCATGGGCGTGGGAAGTCCAGGGCTCGCCAGGGACTGGCCTGCCTCCCAAATCACCGAAGCCCTCCCGAAACCTCCCCCCCCCCCGAGACGTCTCCCAGAACCCGTCCGGGAAAGTTTTCGGAGGGGGTGGGGAGGGTCTTGGTCGTGTGGGGGAAAACCAGTGCCTAGCGAACCCTGGGCTTTCTAAGCCCAGGCGTCCAGGGCGATAGCAAAAGCGAACACCGGCCGAACCGACAGCGAAGCCGACACCGACGGGCCGAAAGACGCCTACAAAAACGCAACAGCGCAGAAGCCGACCGAACCGAGCCGACGGCATGCGACTCCGGCGGCCGCTCGGGACGATCGGGACACCCCGATAGTGCCCTCGGCGAGGCACAGCTGCTGGAAGGCACCCCGAGGCTGGAGCGCAGCCCAGAAACGATGGAAGCGCAGCTTCGAGCCTCTAAGCCTCGAAGCTTCGAACCTCGAGCCTCGAACCTTCGAGCCTCGCAAACCGCCGATGTGCTTGCCGTCGCGCTCGGACGTCCATGCCCCCGTGCATGTGTCGGTGTCGTGCGCGTTTTTTTTGTGCCAGAGGGTCCACGAGGCTCCTCGGTGGTCCTCGCCGAGGCAAGATGCGCACGCGTTCGGGAGATGCTAAGCCGAGAGCCAGCGCGACGCAGCGAAAAAAAACACGCCTGAACACCGCCTGGAAATGGTAGCAGCAACAGCAACAGCCACAGCAGCAGCAACAGCATCATCAACAACACAACAACAACAACAACAACAACAACAACAACAACAACAACAACAACAACAACAACAACACCAACAACAACAACAACAACAACGACAACAACAACAGCAGCAGCAACAACAACAACAACAACCATACCAACAACCACAACACCAACAACTGCAACAACAACAGCAACAGCAGCAGCAACAGCAACACCAACAACAGTATCAACAACAACTGCAACAACAAAACCACCACCACCAACAACAACAACAACAACAGCAGCAACAACAACACCTGCAACAATAACAGCAGCAGCAACAGCAACAACAGCAACAACCGCAATTGCAGCAACAACATCAACAACAACAGCAACAGCAACAACAGCAACCATCATTCTGAGTCTGATCGCTCTTACTAACACGCGTGTTTTGCATTCAATATACCCCAACCCTCGATACCCGCCCACTTCGTCTTCGATTGCAGCCCCTTTCGGGGGAAAATACTATCCCTGTCGGCCACTGACTGACGTACAAGGACCTGTTGAGCGAGAGCGCCGTTCTTGAATGCGGGGGCCTCCCTGGCCAGGGGCACTCGGAATACGGATTGGTCGGCGGTGGACAAACCTCCCTTTAGTAAATCTCCCTTTAGTGGAAACGGCCTGGGATCGAAACCGACGGACCTGGACCCGCAAAAATGACGGCCGCGACGCCCTCTCGCGAACCGAACACGGCCAATTCCTTAATCGACGTGTGAAGGTAGGAGGTCTATTTATGAAACGCCGAATTGGGAAATATCGAACGGGAACCCTTGACACCGTGACTGGGCCTCCGCCAACTTGCCTGAACTACGAGAAAGTCTGAAGCGGGAGGGCCGCTCTGGAGTTCGGAGGCCCCTCTGGCCAGGGCCTCTGGGAATACATCTTGAGGAAGTATCGAACGAGAGCCCTTGTCGTCGCAGTGCGGCCTCCACCAGCTTGACTGAATCGCGAAAATAACTCGAACGACAGCGCCGGTCCTGAGTTCGGGGGCCTGCCTGGCCAGGAGCTCTCGGAGTAAATCGTGAGGAGGTATCGAGCAGGAGCCCTTGTCGTCGTGGCTGGGCCTCCTTGAACTTGCCTGGATTACGAGATAGTCTCGAGCGAGAGCGCCACTCTTGAGTTCGGGAGCCTCTCTGGCCAGGGCTCCTGGGAATACATCTTGAGGAAGTATCGAACGAGAGCCCTTGTCGTCGCAATTGAGCCTCCACCAGTTTGACTGAATCGCGCGAAAGCGTCGAACGACAGCGCCGTTCCTGAATTCGGGGGCCTTCCTGGCCAGGAGCTCTCGGAGTAAATCGTGAGGAGGTATCGAGCAGGAGCCCTTGTCGTCGTGGCTGGGCCTCCTTGAACTTGCCTGGATTACGAGATAATCTCGAGCGAGAGCGCCACTCTTGAGTTCGGGGGCCTCTCTGGCCAGGGCTCCTGGGAATACATCTTGAGGAAATATTGCACGAGAGCCCTTGTCGTCGCAATTGAGCCTCCACCAGTTTGACTGAATCGCGCGAAAGTGTCGAACGACAGCGCCGTTCCTGAATCCCACCAGCCCTCTGGGCGTCGGTGGTTTAGGGCGTTTCCTCTTCCACCCCTCCCTCTTCCCCTTCGGGGAGGGGTTTACCCCTCCCCCTACCCCCTCCCCACTGACCTGGACAGGAGGGGCGGGGAGCGGTCAGAGCGTCCAAAACGGCCTCGGCGAGGAAGCCAAAATCATTGATTTTACTATGGTTTTGGCCCCATTTTGGCCTTCTGAGGGGGCAGGCTAATTAAAGCTCCCCTCTTCTTTGATCGATTTCCTCCACGATGGCCGCAAGAGGCCCCCAGGATGCCCCAAGAGGCCGCAGGATGGCCCCAAGATGGCCCCAAGAGGCCCCCCAAGAGGCCCCCAGGAGGCCCCCAAGAGACCCCCAAGAGGCCCCAAGAGACCCCCCAGAGGCACCCAAGGTGCTCCCAGAGGCCTCGGCGATAATGTCAAACCATTGTTTGCACTAAGGTTTTAGCCACATGTTGGCCTCTTGGGGGGGGGCACTGATTAAGATGACTCCAAGAGCGCCTCGGAGAGCCCAAAATGACCTCCAAGATGGCTCAAGAAATCCCAAGATGTCTCATACTGGCTTCCTCTGTGTGCTGTCCACTTCCCTGATCGAGGCAATCCCACCAGCCCTCTGGGCGTCGGTGGTTTAGGGCGTTTCCTCTTCCACCCCTCCCTCTTTCCCTTCGGGGAGGGGTTTACCCCTCCCCCTACCCCCTCCCCACTGACCTGGACGGGGGGGGCCGCGAGCGGTCAGAGCGTCCAAAACGGCCTCGGCGAGGAAGCCAAAATCATTGATTTGACTTAGATGTTGGCCCCATTTTGGCCTCCTGAGGAGGCAAAGATGGCCCCAAGAAGCGCCCAGGAGGCCCCCAAAGGCCCCAAGATGGTCCCAAGAGGCCCCAAGAGGCCCCCAGGCGGCCCCAAAGAGGATCCCGAACGGCC